AGATGGAGATAGGCTTGAGCCTAAATCAATAAAATATAAACTTATGGGATATCAAAAGAAAAAAATAGATATTACTTTTACCAACCATAAGAACACAAGGTGTTCGTGACTAGACATACTCTATTCCTTATGGAGGAGTTTATAAATGCTAGGACCAATGAGAGGAAGGTTGAACTCGATGAGATTTGAGAAGACTCACAAATTGACACTTCATAAAAGGAACTCTAAATCAAAAAATTAGAAAACATTGTAACTCTCCCATAAATTGATACGTAAGAACTTTATATGTCTAAGAGGATTCATCAAGAGCTACAAAGATATGACTTTCTAGTCTCTACATATGGAGATGTGTCTATTATATGAGACGACGAACCTAATACTTACGAAGAAGTAGTGTTAGACATTGATTTTGAAAAATGGCATGAGGCCATGAAATCTAAAATGGAATCCATGCATACTAACCAAGTATAGACTTTGGTTGATCCACTTAAAAGTGTCAAACCTATTGGATGGAAGTAGGTCTTTAAGAAAAAGATTAACATGGATGGGTATATACATACATACAAAGCTAGATTAGTGATAAAATGATATCGTCAAAAATAAGGTGTTAATTATGATAAAACTTTTTCACCAATAGCAATGGTTAAATCCATTCGGATTATGCTTGCAATTGTTGCATATCACGATTATGAGATATGACGGATGGATGTGAAAACTGCTTTCCTTAATGGAAAATTAAATGAGAATGTGTACATGACACAACCCGAGAGTTTTGTTACCAAAGGACATGCAAATAAGATTTATAAATTACAAAGATTCATTTATAGACTTAAGAAAGCATCAAAGAGTTGGAATTAATGTTTTGATAAAACGGTCAAAGAGTTTAACTTTTCAAAAAATGAAGATGAACCTTGTGTATACAAGAAGGTTAGTGGAAGCTCAATTATTTTTATTAAGCTATATGTAGATGACATACTACTTATAGACAACAACACTATCATGTTATAATTTATACAAGATTGGTTATCCAAAAACTTCTTCATGAAAGATATGGGTGAGGCGAACTTACATTCGAAGAATCAAGATCTATAGAGACGGATCATAAAAAATATTATGAGTCTCCCAATACACGTGCATTGATTAAATACTAAAGATGTTTAGTATGGAAGAATCTAATAGAGGACTTATTCTAATATCACATGACATAAAACTTTCTAAGGCCGAGTGTCCTAACACATAAAACAAAAGGGAAATGATAAGTTACATTCCTACGCATCAACCATAGGATCTATCATGTATGCCATGTTATTTACATGGTTTGATGTCTTATATGCTTTAAGCATATGTAGTATATATCAAGTTTATATGAGAGAAAAACACTAGATTGATGTGAAGAGCATTTTAAAGTACTTACGAAGAGCTAAAGATGCTTTCTTAGTCTATGAAAGAGATGAACTAGTGGTGAAATAGTTCACATATGCTAGTTTTCAAACTCACCATGATGAATTTAAGTCACGAGTCAAGATTCATTTTCCGAGTTAAACGATGGAGTTGTTAGTTCAAAAGGTTCTAACTAAGAAACAATGATTAATTCAATAACCGAGGTCTGAATATATTACACCCGTAAAAGCAATTAAGGAAGTTGTTTGGATTCATACATTTTTATATAGACCATAAGTGGTTCATAGCATTGTTGATCCAATAGTATTGTACTACAACCACAACAGAGTTATAACACAAGCTAAGGAACCAAGGTCTCATCAATGGTCTAAGTATGTATTGTGATGTTACCATCCGATTAGAGAGATTAACGATCATGGCGATATAAGGATAGAAAATGTCCACACCGATGACTACATAGTCGATCCCTTCATTAAGCCTTTGTCACGAATTTGAAACATGAGACGCTTACTCAATTGTTGAAATTAAAGACATAACTGGTTGGCGCTAGTACAAGTGTGAGATTTATTACTCGTAAGTGCCCAAGATCCAATCATGTTTGGATGAGATGAGATATTGTATTATTGCATCATTTATATTATTTATAATAAAAGAAGTCTTTCTATTAATTCTTGTCATTTACATTTATTGATTGAATAAAATTAAATGAAAGTCCATATGATATGAATTTGCATTAATGATTGATTGAAAGATGTGAGATAAACACTAATGCATATAAATGATATCATTAAATGTCTCAAGTTGTAGCATTATCAAAAATCGATATTGATTATATGTGGTTAGACTTGCAAGTGTTATGCTCATATTATATAATAGTAGTAGGAGATTTCACACCTATTGGTATGATGATGCCAAAATAAGCACTTAGGTGATTTATGTTAGAGAACATATGACTAGACTTGACTCGCCATGAGAACTCATTTGGTTTGGTCTATGAGAATCTCATAAGAGATGGGTACAATTGATCGTTAGACTTGAAGTCATCATGGTTATCTTATTAGAGGATTTATGCACACCGACCCTCATTTTGATGGATCTAGTAAAGAGTTGCACGTGGATGATTCGTAAGGTGCACTAAGAATCTAATGGAGATAGGTGAATAATTAAAATAGGACATGCCATTCCTTATTTACTAAAGGAGTTATCATATTGCACTTCGATGAATGTCTCATCAAGAAATCTATGGTCATAGTAAGAGTGCACCAATAAAGCATAGTTAGTTTACTCTAAGAGCTAGGACATTTGGAAAACGAAGAAAACTTTTATGATCACAATCGAACAAGACTTATAATCAAGTTCCGGATCACACTATGATAAGTTGATATGAGGATCGAATTGTATGGTAACCATGCTTGTGAAAGGTTATAATGGATTAATTAATCTTCTTAAAGAATTGGATAGTCATGATGTATTACTATAGATCAATTTTGACTTATGTATCAAGAGATAAAAGAGGTGTCTTTTGTTCTTGATATATTATTAACATATCTAGAAGCTTATTGAGTCACACACATAAGTTTAAGTATTCACATGATTAAAGAAAAGCAAAGATATTAGAAAAAAGTTTTCAATTTTGAAAGTTTCTTATTTTGGAAAGGGTTTTCGAAAATGGAAAGTTTCCTAAAATGAAAAGTTTTCAAAAATGAAAAGTTTTCTATTTTAGAAATCGGTTTCCTAATTTGGAAGTTAGTTCTAAATTTGAAAGTAAATTACCTAAAATGAAAATAAGTTTCCTAATTTAGGTTAAAAGGTTTTTTGAAAAATTGTTTCCTAATGTGGACAACCTAAAATTATCTAAGTTTATTTATTTGGATAGTCCAAATTAATTAATTGGGCCAAAATAGTTTTGGGTTAATAGGTTTAATTAGTAGCACTGAAGATATTTTGGTGGGAGGATAAACATGAACCTTATTGGATAAAGATATATATTTTAAAGATAAAGATTAAAAGCCCACTTACAAAATAATTTTTAATCCTTGTAGGATTAAGAAGCAACAACTATAAGTCCTATTTAGGACAAGTTACCATCCATCCTTGACCTTGGAGAATAAGAAAACTCTCCCCTATAAATAGGAGGAGAGAGATACGGTAACTAAAGGAAATTTAAGGGAGACATCATTCGGTCAAGAGAGAAAATTCTCTAGCGCTACATGACATAAAGAAAATAAAAAGGAGAAAATAGTTTTCTCCTAAAACCCTAATACGTGTCACTTTTCTTCTTCCTTTAAGGTTGTTGCAAAATTGTCTAAAATAGATTTTTATAAGAAACACTACATAAACAAGAAAATGTGGAGCTAGCACTATACCAAATTTGAGTGCTTCTTTGTGGGTGTTTGGACTGCATGGATCATTAATAGAGGTCGGACACTTAGATGACCTTTTTACGTTAAAAAATTTAGATCTGCGCTACAAGAGGCAATCCTTTATTTAATGCTTTAATTCATGCATGTATGACTAGTAGATTCAACGACTTGATCTTGGGCCTTTTAAATGAAGGAAATTTTTTTAATTTTATTCCGCACCTTCATAGGATGCACGATCCTTCAATATAACCTTTATTTTAGTTTTATTCTTTAATATACCTCTATGCTAACACATGAATGATTTTAATATGAATAGATAAAAATACCTTTTCAAGTTAATAATAATAAATTAGCATGTAGGTGTTAGAATTCGAACCTTAATTTTAAATTTTTCTTACCTAAAGATGTATTTTTTATAACATAATATTTTTACAAATCCTTATTGAAACTATCATGTGTAATGTATTGGATCGCGTGATTGTTATTTTTTTTATAAAAATAGTTGATAGAGAGGTATGTTATAAAATATGAATAATATAATGTTATAATTGATTGATTTTTTTAATATATATATATATATATATATATATATATTTTCTATTACATAATATTTTTACAAATCATTACTGAAACTATCATGTATAATGTGTTGGATCACGTGATTGTTATTATTATTTTTTTTAAAAATAGTTGATAGAGAGGTATGTTATAAAATATGAATAATATAATGTTATAATTGATTGATTATATATATATATATAGAGAGAGAGAGAGAGAGAGAGAGAGAGAGAGAGAGAGAGAGAGAGAGAGAATCTAATTGATAAATGGTGAAATGCATATGAATAAATGAATATATTGATAAGTTTTTGTTAAAAAATATTATATAAATTGGAAATTTGTTACCAATCCTTTAATGTTAAATAAATTATTTGATGCTATGTAAAATTTATCTAATTTTAAAATTTTTAATTATTCATTGACTAATTTTAGATACATTGATTTTATTTTGGTACTTATTATTATTTTTTCTTTTTTTCTTTTAAATCTATACTTCGGTGGTGCAAAGTGTAGTCACACCTACCCAAACTCAACGAACTTAACCTACACCGCAACATACCCAATGAAAACCCTAAAACCCTTCCTCAAATTTTCGTAAGGAACGTTTCTTAAACCCTTAGGCTTAAACCCTGAAATCAAATCAATCATTCTCCCTCTTTCTCCCTCACAATCAATCAAATGCCATCAATAATAGCAGCGAGAAGAGCAAATCCTCTCTTAAACTCACTCCCTCACTTCCTCACATGGCGATCCTTAGGATTCCGCACTATCTGTAGTGGCCGTCTAGGCTTCGCTCCCTCCGATACGGACCCGGATCCACCCGTCTCTTCCTCTGGTTCCAAGTTCCTCGAGTCCTTTAAAGAAGAATTCGAGATCGGGTCGCGCTTAATCACTTTTGAAACTGGAAAAATTGCTCGATTCGCAAATGGCTCTGTAGTTTTGGGGATGGAACAAACGAAAGTGCTTTCAACTGTCACTTCGTCTAAAGGGGATTCTGTTCGGGATTTTTTGCCTCTCACTGTATGTGTATTATTTTTAATAAAAATAATTATCATTTTCTTTTATTAGTTAGCATGTTTAAAACAAATAGAGAGAAAATAACAATGCTCTTTTTCTTGAGACGAGATGAAATTCATTAAAAAAAAAGAAGGAAAATGGAAACCCAAATGAATGATATGATGCCTCTGTTGTTATCATTTGATTTTTCGCACGTTTGAGCAGGTCTACTTAATGAATTTTGTGTTTTTGGAAGGTTGATTATCAAGAAAAGCAATTTGCTCAAGGTGTGATTCCTAGTAGTTTCATGCGAAGAGAGGGTGCACCAAAAGAACGTGAACTTTTATGTGGTCGTCTTATTGATCGGCCTATAAGACCACTCTTTCCTGCTGGATTTTACCACGAGGTTCAGGTATGTTGTTACTGTTTTGTTTGCTCTTTTCACTTTGGTAATTTATCTTTGGCACCCCCGTTGTGCTTTGGTGTCTAGTGATGCATATTGATTTCTTCATAGGTGATGGCAAGTGTTCTTTCTTCAGATGGGAAACAAGATCCAGATGTAATGGCGGCTAATGCAACGTCTGCTGCTCTTATGCTGTCTGACATTCCTTGGGGTGGTCCCATTGGAGTGATTCGCATAGGAAGAATTTGTGGAAAGTTTGTTGTTAATCCAACCATGGATGAGGTGATACTCCATGTGGATTGCTTCATTTTATTATTATTATTATATATATTGTTATGAGATCAGTCCTTGTTTCTTTCAATTTGTTGGATGCTTACCTTGAAGTCATTTATCCAAATTGCGAAATTTTTGCGCTTAGTTCTCCAAGCTGCGTATTATTCAAATCCTTTTATTTATTATTATTATTATTATTTTTTTGTCTTCATTTCTGTCTTCAAATATTTTGAGTCTGTGAAACTATTGACCAGATAGCGACTTTTGTGAGACAAAAAACTTATAGGACCATAGCTGTTTTAGGAAAGCATGTTGGTTTAGTTCATTTTAGGAGAGTTAAGTCTTCCACAATCACTCACCGAAGTGTCTTTCGCTTCTGATCTGAAGAGTTCTGTATTAATTTCCGGTCTATAATTACCTTTTGTTAACTTGCATGGTTGACTCTGAAAACAAGCTTTCCTGGCCTATGATAGAATTGCTTCAAGTAGTTATATACCCTGAAAATATCTAGAACTAATTAGTACATGGAGGATGTCTTTGTATTTGCAATTATAGGGTTCCATCTTCTGATTGGTACTCATTGGGTCTATGCAGCTTAGGTTAAGTGATCTGAACTTAGTATATGCCTGTACAAAGGACAAAACTCTAATGATAGATGCGCAAGCTCGTGAGATCTCAGAGAAAGATCTAGAAGCTGGGTTAAGACTGGCACATCCAGAGGTGACCAGTTAAACTTTGTATATCTTTCACTATACTTCTGTTTATGGATTAGTGTGCAATGCTCAACTCTGATTTTCAGGCAGTGAAGTTTCTCGAACCTCAAATCAGACTGGCTGCCAAAGCTGGGAAGCATAAGAAGGATTACAAACTGTCTCTGGTGTCAGATAGAACATTGGAAACGGTTAGAAAGTTGACAGAAGCGAAGATTGAAGCTGTCTTTACAGATCCTTCATATGGTAAGGTGCGTGAATATTTGATCTCAATTATTCTGTGGTCTAAGTTCTTTGCACGAGTGTGTTGAGCATGTCATGTTTGCTTGTGTGCATGTAAGTATGTAAGAAGCGAACATTATGATCACACTGTATTATATTTCTTTATTTTTTCCGGTTTTATATCTTACTTATTTTTACATGTTCAGTTTGAGCGTGGAGAAGCCTTAGAGAACATTGCACAGGAAGTAAAAAGAACCCTCGAGGAAGAATGTGATACAGAAAGCTTAACAGTTCTTCCGAAGGTTGTAGACAGAGTACGAAAAGAGGTAAGCTGTGCACAATAATTGTAAGCTAATGGTTCACTGTTTTATTTTTTCACCAATATTTCAGTGGAAATGAATAAGTGGTTGCTAAAATTTATTCATTTTCTTTTTCTTGTTTCGAGTAGGATGGGCAATGAACTGGTACCAATGAATCATTTTTTTCTTCAACAACTGATAATTTTATTAAAGTGTATATTGCTGGCATGCATAGTTACCTGTGGAAATAACTCCACATTTTTCTCTTGCTATTGTATTAGTTGTTTGCATTTATGCTTGTTCTGCTCCTTGTATTGCTATAAAGGTTCACAGTTTTTGAATCTTGTAAAAATATCAGATTGTTCGCAAGAGGATTATTGCAGAGGGATTTAGAGTTGATGGGAGACGCCTCAATGAAGTGAGGCCATTGTATTGTGAGGCAGGTTATTTACCTAATTTGCATGGATCTTCAATTTTTTCTCGTGGAGATACCCAGGTCAGTCTGAATTTTATTTTGTTTGTATTTGATGACATAAAGTGCTAAAATGTTCGAAAAGTTAATAAATACAAGCACTAGATCAAGGATAATGCTATGTTTTGGTGAGATTAGTTTTGACTCGTGGGTATATTTGGTATTCTCTAGGTTCTTTGTACTGTCACTCTTGGTGCACCTGGGGATGCTCAACGTTTGGATTCCTTAGTTGGTCCCCCAACAAAGCGTTTCATGCTTCACTATAGTTTCCCTCCATTTTCAATTAATGAAGTTGGTAAACGAGTTGGCCTGAACAGACGTGAAGTTGGTCATGGTAAACCCATTCACTTTCATGTTCCCATGTCATATGAATGAAATAATGAATCATTCTAAAGCTTATTTATTTCAAGTTGACCTTCTGAGGCTTCAGATAATGTTTTCATGTCTTGAGTTAACAAAATTTGGCAGTATAATTTATTAATTTGTCTAATATCAGTGTAACTATGGAGTAGCTTTAGTTTTCTACAACATGTATTTCCCATTTTCTATTGTTATTTTGGGAGTTTCATAGAGCAAGCAAGTCCATATTCTGTTTGGCTTAATGTGTGCTTTTTTGAGAGTATAGAATTGGCTCTGAATCTGTTTATTAAAGTGCAGTTAGTCTGAAATGGTGACACTGATATCTTCAAACACTGATGTAAGACAAGTAGGTTTTTAACTTATCTAACAAAATATGGTTAGATCTGATATGTAGCTTAACAACAATCAACCACTGTATACACTGTAAGTAATCTGCTCAAGAATTGCCCTTACTGTATTTGTATGCTGATCTTGTTTGTATAAGAAGTCTTATCCAAAATAGCAGCAATGCAGATCTAATTGGAAAGGAATAAATTGCAGAACCAACCCAGAAGTAGTGGCACCTGCTGCTTATCAGATCCTGTTTTTGACTTCTATTGAGGGAATTGTATTCATTTGTTTGCGGGCTTTAAAATTTATATATGCTGATGAATGGCTGATTAAAAACTAATTCGACAATCATAGAGATCTGGCTTTTACACCATGTCTGGGAGAATAGAAAATGAGTGAAAAGGATGTGGGGAGAGGGTAAGTGCATTTTTTTCCTGTTTGGGGACTTGGGAGAAAGTAAGGGAGAGGAACATGGTGAAAAGGTTTTCCCAGGTACCCACATTACCTACCCATGAGAGAAGTTATTATACTTGCGATTGTTCTATACATGTGTTATATTAATTTGACATAAATGATACTGTACTTTTTTATCTTCCACTTTCTTTGCTCCCAAACAAAAGAAATTATAACTTTATTTCCCTTAATTTTAACTCCATCCAAACCAAAATAGAGGAAATATTGGTATCCTTATCTCATTTTCTTTCCCACGTTTTCATTCCCCTCTCCCTCTTTTCTTCCAAACATAGAATTAGAGATTTTCAACGTATTACTATAGCAGGTTGTAATTAAATTCACTTAACAAAGAAGAAAGATTGAAACATTCATGATGGGATAAGATAAACTGCCATTAGAGCATAGTATGTTGTTGAACTGCTGGTTCATATTTAATCATTTGTTGATGTTTGCGTGCATAGAATTATTATTCTCAACTCCTGCGGTTCCAAAATCGAGTCCAACTTTGTTGTGAAAAACTTTTTATACTTTTTTCTTTTTAGCATTCCTAGAAAATAGTAATTGAGAATGATTAGCTCCAACTGACAAAGTACTGAATGAATCAGCATAGTGCTCTTTTTTTTTTTTTTTTTTTTTTTTTTTTATTTGGCCTGAATTGTTTTATAACTTTGATAACCTGGCTACGCGATTGATGCTTACTAAATTACCTGTGTGTTAATGATCTTCTAAACCCGTATTTTTTTTTATGGTGTCTTCATCATATCTAGGAACTCTTGCGGAGAAAGCCTTGCTTGCTGTTTTGCCTCCTGAGAACGATTTTCCGTATACAATTCGCATCAATTCTGAAGTAATGGCATCAGATGGTTCAACATCAATGGCAACCGTTTGTGGAGGTTCCCTTTTCAATTTACAACTATAATAGCTCATGATTTTCCCTTTGTTTTATGCTTTTTATCTGCCTAGGATAGCTTGACTTGGCTCTGAGGAATTTTGGTACTTGGTATAAAAAAATTGACAACTTTAGTTTGTTTCATATGACTATATAAATCTATGCGGGTCTATTCCTTTAAGCCTTTTGTTGATTGGGGAATAGCTAGCATGACATATGTTTCCTTTTCTCCCCCTTCCAAATAGGCAGTATGGCCTTGATGGATGCTGGCATTCCTTTGCAAGAACACGTTGCTGGTGTTTCAGTGGGTCTTGTTAGTGAAGTTGATCCATCAACTGGAGAGTTTAAGGACTACCGTATACTGACTGATATTTTGGTGAGATTCTTACTTGGTTTGTTTGCATTATTGCCTACTGCATGGTGGATTGCAGTATATTCTTTTACATGTTGGTAGCTTTTTAATTTCGATGCTGAAGGTCGTTGCAATCTGTTAGGATTTTTTGCATGTTTTTTTCTTCTTTAATCTTTGTTAGGCATCTTCTCTGATTAACTAATGTTATCTGTTTTCAGGTTTTGAAAATCCTTCCAAACTTTTTCTCATTTTGTTTTTACTGGATTTGGGTTTTTCAAGGGCCTGGAAGATCATTTAGGGGACATGGACTTCAAAATTGCTGGAACACATAAGGGAGTTACTGCAATTCAGTTGGATATAAAACCTGCTGGAATTCCTTTAGATATCATCTGTGAGTGTTTAGAGCCGGCGCTAAAAGGGCGTCTTCACATCCTTGACTACATGAAGCAAGAGATTAGTGTACCGCGCTCTCAGGATCATAGAAATCCTCCACGATTAGGTTGGTTTTTCAACACTATTATGCCGACTATATTTCTTTTTTACTTGCTGATAACTTTTCATCCATGATGCAGCTACATTAAAGTTCAGCAATGATACTCTTCGTCGCTTGATTGGGCCTCTAGGTGTTCTTAAGAGAAAAATTGAAGAGGAAACAGGTTCAATTCAAACTTGACAATGCTTTGTGTGACATCATGTAAATTATGATAGCTGCATTCCTCGATTGGTAGGGTCTTTTGGCACTGAATTTCATTTGAACTATTACTGCTTAACTATTTCACTATTGTTTAATACTTCTCCATAATAAATGATAATAGATGGCATATTGAGATGAAATGATGCCTGCATATGATGGCATTTTACTAGACTAGTATTTCTACTTTGTCTTGCCTTTCAGGATGTTTGTATAACTCAGTATGTATGAAATTCAGCAGTTCAAATTTTAGTATCTAGGACACTTCCATGAAAATATATTCCATTTTCAAGTGTTGGTGCAATCATTCCACTTCCTACTTGCTTTCCTTATTCCCATGATTTGTTAGAACATTTTAAGTTTCTTTTGTGTTATTTTTAGATTTTCTCTTCATTAGTTCATTCTGATAATAATACGTACAATTGGAACATGGTTCATGTTAAGCTGGGGACATGAATATTAGCGTTTTTTCTTTCTTTTCTTTTTTTTAACATACAGGCATTATAAGGTAGGGATGAGTTATCAATGACAATTTATAAACATGTTATAAGTATTTCAGATTTCTGGATTATACATTATTTTGGAGGAAAACAAAGCATTACCTCTTATTTGTCCTTGCCAATATGTTGAAACCCAATGCTGTAATTTCAGAAAATTCCAAACAAATCTTCATTCTGTAAATTTCAGAAAATTTCAACTACTACTATGATTTGATATCAATGGGATGTTGACTATATTACAATTCTTTTGTGTCTTTGCATAATCTAGGCGCACGGATGTCTGTAAGCGATGGAACACTTACTGTAGTTGCCAAGAATCAGACTGTAATGGAGAGAGTGCAAGAGAAGGTTTCTATTTTCTCTTTTGTATTCAGTTCAGCCATTCCATTCGTTCTATATTTTGTTTGTGATCTGGTTCTTTTGAGTAGTGCATAACATAGAAAAACTTTAAGTTTTGTGTCACTGGATTAGTTATTAATTTTTAAGTCAGCATACTATCTTCAGAACTTTTGTGCATATTTCTCCACAGCGTTAGGATTGTTGAAAGACAGAAATTCAGTCACTTCAGGAGCTTTTTATGCTAATTTGAATACAAATTTATGAGGGAACCAAGTGCTTCAAGAGTTTAAATCTGAAACCTTTGTATTGTCAAATTTCTCCATTCTCAAAGTATGTTAAAACTGATCCCTCTCCCCCCAGACACAAAAAAGAATTATAGATCTTTGATAAATCTCTCTCTCTCTCTCTCTCTCTCTCTCTCTCTCTATGTTTTAGAAATAAAATGCAACATTCTCTACAATAGCAGTTTTGCCCTCTCCATGCCATACATTTAATACTGCAATATATCCATATTTGATGGTTTAATTTGTGGTGATTGAGGGATCTATTGCTTGTTATAAGTTGCATGACTGCTTTTGCTTCTATATTCTTCTCCTCAGATTGATTTTATAGTCGGCCGTGAAATTGAAGTTGGTGGGATTTACAAAGGCATTGTAACTTCAATAAAAGAATATGGTGCTTTTGTGGAGTTTAATGGTGGCCAGCAAGGTCTGCTACATATTTCTGAGTTAACACATGAACCGGTATGTAATCGCATGGTGACATGATGTACATTGGAGCTTTGTTAATGGTCTTCCCTTCATTTGCTTCTTGAATGTTATGTGTAGCTGCCTCTTGGTGCAATCTATTTGAGTCCAATATTCTGTTGCTTAAATGCCCATTAGTTGGGACATGTTACAGAAACATATAATCTTTGTCATTCTTATGCAATTTATACCCTGTTCTTGAAATGTCATGATCTTTTCATCCTTAAGAGGGATTTAACTGAAGATCATTAAAACATATTTCTTTTATTTTAAATTTGAGTTTATTTGAGGGCTAAACACCCATTTTTATTGACATAGGTAGTTAATAGGACCTTATTACTTGAAACTGCCAATTTCACGGTGTTTATAACCAGCTAAGATCATCTTCTTTGAACTTTGTCCTTGTTTAATGATAAAACAAGGTATTGAGTCCATTGTGTATCTTTTGGGCATATTGGCTTGCTAGAACAAATTTAAGAGGAGGTTCTATTTTTTTTTATAATATTTCTTTGCAGGGGTCTTTTATTTTTCCTTGTGCCTTTAGGGTTTGGATAGAATATGACATAGGGTTACATGATGACTAAAACAGACATTAATTCGTTGAGTTAAAGACCTTGGAAGTGAATACTTGCAAAAATCAAGGGAGTGCCTGGCAATGAATAAAAAGATAAATATGAAATCAGCAGCCTTGGAACAAAAAAGCGGTTGAGCGGTGGGAGTGGAGACACTGGCACCCTGTTTCAGGGGACAAGATGCAAGTTGCCTAGCAGCTTGCAATGAGGCCATTGGTTGTACCAACTATGACTTGATTGCTAAGTTTTAGAGTACCGCTGCTTTAAGTAATAGCTGAGGGACAAATAACTCAAGGAATCTGTTACCCAGCTAGTGATAGTCGCATTTAATTGGCTGAAAGAGGAAACCTTAGAGAAATAATTGGAAAAAAAAAAGATGGAAAACCAATTAATGGAGGGGAAATGGCTATTAAGAGTTCATTATTGATTTGCTGTGCCTACATTTTGTTTTCATGGTTTGGTTATGTTTTGGTTTTCAGATGTGATATAACTCTTTGGTGCATTAGTTTTTTTGTTTTGAACCAGAATCAAACTATCTGTTGAAATTTGTGTTTAAAACTTGGCTGCTATTTATACCTTCAAAAATTGGATTTCTCACTTAAGGGCTTATGAATGGATTCGCTTGAGAATCCTTATATGTTAAAGTTCTGCATGTGGTTTTACATGCTTTCCCTTCATCAGCTCTCCAAGATTTCAGATGTCATATCTGTTGGGCAGAAGCTTTCCTTGATGTGCATAGGGCAGGATGTTCGTGGCAACATCAAATTATCACTTAAAGCAACTTTACCCCAGTTGAGATCTGAGAAAGATAATGTTACCGAGAGACCAGTTTCTGTTAATAAAGAAGCATCTAAAGTTTGGGCCTCTGTTGGGAATATGCCTAATGAGCAAGAAGAGCAGAAACCGACAGTTGATGAGTTGGAGGTGAGTAGGAGCATAGGAAACCCTTCTACTTCCTCAGTTCCTGCTTTTCTGATTCGAAGTCCTGCTGAGTGTGACAAGGAGGACAAAACTGTTATTTTGAATAGGGGTTCTAAGAGCAAATCTAAAACTTCACGGGCTTCGAAATGGGATAGTAAGCAAAAAGCAAATGTGCCTGAAAGTGATGATTCTAATTCATCAATCTTTAGCTCTGTTCTCTCTTCACATACCGTGGATAATTTGAATCAACAAGAAGAGCAAAAATCTACAGTTGATGAGTTGGAGGTGAGTAGGAGCATGGGAAATCCTTCTACTTCCTCAATTTCTGCTTTTCAGATTCGAAGTGCTGTTGAGTGTGACGAGGACAAAACTGTTAGGTTGAATCGGGGTTCTAAGAGCAACTCTAAAACCTTACGGGCTTCGAAATTGGGTCGTAGGCGAAAAGCAAATGTGCCTGAAAGTGATGCTGAAGTGGGGCCACCTTTGAGTGCAAAAACTCTTGAAGTTGGAATGAAGGTTGCTGCCAAGGTTTATCAAATTCGCACACATGGGTTAGTCCTTGATTTGGGTGGTGGAGTTCGTGGAATGTATCGGTTTGAGGTATGCATTATTGCTAATGATTTTAATTAGCATATGTCTGGAGCAATGTTTTGCATTTCTGTTCTCTTTTCTTTGCAGCCACTGTATGGTAATCATTTGTGAGAACCAAAAATTATTTGTTTGCTCCTGATTAAGTTTATTGGTCGACTGCCCGCCACATTGCAATAACAATTTTTGTAAATTCATTCATTCATTTATAGCGACAGGGTTCTAGTCTTTTTAAAAGCATGGACAGCTTTTTGGTACTAAAAATCTGATTTTAATTAGGGGCACATTTTCTAGCCAATATTCAAAGGGATTGGAGTGCCCTTGCAAATTGGTTGTGTTTTGATCTTTGTTTTGTTGATTTGGAGGATATCTTATTCTCAAATAATCTTTCCTGCAGCTACTTCCTCATATTGATATCTTCTTCTTTTGTTTTTCGTTTTTTTTTTAAATATAAAAAAACTGAAATTCAAATAATGTTTGCAACTGAAGGGCTTTCCTTGATGCTGCATATGAGTTTCTTGGTGAATCTTTCACTACAATGCAACAATAACTTCTATAATTTTTTCAGTTTATCATTTTGATGTTGATTGAATGAATATTGCTGTCAGCTAAATGTTTGGCCATTTATTCTCTTACACCAACTTAAATATTTGAATAATTTTTTTTTACCTTTTGGCTTTTCTTTGGTCCATGAAAATCACCACTTTTGCGTCTCCATGCAGACCAATGAAAAGAGGGACTTTGAGATTGGCGATGAGTTGCTAGTTGAATGTATAAGCTTTTCTAGCAAGGGAGTTCCAGTTCTGTCCTTGGTGGATGACGAGTGACGCTGTATTTACTATCCAATGTCTTAACATAGATGGTAACCAGCAGATGGTGAATTGCTAGAAGCTCTTGTACCTACCAGGAGCTGAACGCCAAAAATGGTGATAGAAATTTTGCTTAAAGTTGCATACGGATTTGTCTATGTTCAATAATCCAAATGGCTGATTGATCTTTCGGTTTGAGCAGCATTCTAACTTTATGCTAGTACCAAAACTAGCATCGTTTTTTGTTTTTCGGTTACATTGAGACTCCAATCCAGAGTTCAGTAGGGTGTGGATAACAACATGCCAGTTAAACAAGTGATCAGCAAGTGCAATGTTATTTAAACGCATGATGAATTGTCATTTTGGCGGTGAAATTTTGGTTAGCTAGAGTTAGCTAAATATCTCTGATTGTAATCTCTGTTTTGTGAAGTTTGTAGCTGTAATTTTTAGAGAATAGTCAGTTGCCTTCTGTTACAAAGGTCAATAGGACAGTTTATTTCTGGTACAGATGGTTTATTAAAGGATTCGAGGATATTTATCTTGCTCAACGTTTTTAAGCAAATTGAGTGCTGGAATATCTCTAGAGTTTGTTGCTTGCTTCTTTTCTTGACATGAAGTTTGGATATATATATTTGGAGTATATTTAGCGGTGGCGGGGTATTATCTCTACTTGGAGTATGTGGTTTGAATGCAACGACTTTTGGGGAGGAAGAATCGAGCAGTACTTACAGCCATCTATCTGTATCTGTACAATGAAAAATAAGGATGTGTATCATATCTGCTTTAGGCATTTGCTTTCTATTGTGTCTTCGATGTACAAAGTAAAATTTTAATTAATTGAATGGAAAACTAGTAATTAAATAGTTTTTGTTTTGATACACATAAATATATGCGATTAAGATCATCACAAGATTCAATTAGTTAAACCATGATCATATCCGCATTTTTCCTTCTGAATTATTTCTTTTTTTTTTTCTTTTAAAAAATAAAAATATATCTGTGGGTGCAATAATACTCAATCAAAAACTTGTTTTATAATTATTTTTTCAATTAGCTGTTTCATTAAAAATTTTTCTTTAGTTTTGAACATTTCATGTGTTGCATATTTTTTTAAAGGGTTGTTAGATTCTTTTATTTTCGGTTGTTGGCAGCACACTTGTGGGCTTTAGGATTTTTTTTTTTTAAAGAACTTGTTGGGCGTTCATGTTATGTTAGAGATCAAATAGAGCATGTGAAATTATTAAAAAAGAAAAAATTATAGTTCTATGATCTTCGTTATATTCCAGGTTTACTAAAATATATTGAAATCAAATTTTTATTTTATTTTTTTTAAAAAATCACCTAATTTTATGATTTTTTAATCAAAATTCTATACTTAATCAATTCTTTCTTATATGAATAGATTTTTTTTCTTTTTTTTTTTAACATGATTTTTTTTATGCATGGATTCTTATATAAAAATTTGTAATAATCTAAAACACAAGTTTTAATTAATCAGAAATCCCAAAAAAAAAGTGTAAATTTATTTATTTATTTATTTTTTTCATATGATTGTATTGAAAAAATAAAGTAACAACTAATATAAAAATTGTATTAAAATTAAATTTTTTAACTAAATTCCTATTCTTATTGAATATCAATGAGAAGATTTATTTTTGAAAGTATGTATGCTAGGTTTATATCTATATTATACTCAAATAATTAATAATATTGAAAAGTATGGAACCATCATGTGGTTTTTTTAGCATAATTTTAATTACTTTATTTGAGGGAAATTAATTTTAAAATATCCATTTTAAAAAATAAATGTTAAGTGTTTTGTTTATATATATGCATAGTCAATTTTCACTAAAAAACACCTATAGAATTAATCTCAATAAAATTTAATTATATAAAAAAGAAGAACATAAAATAAGTGAATTTCATTTTTTTCTTAGCAAATATTTTTGTTTTTAAGCCAATACATGTTTGGTCTCCATGCACAGACTTCACACGTATAACAATCGATTATGCCTCTTGTTTTTATTTATTTATTTTCACTTTATAATTTTAATTATAACTAAAAAATTTAAAAATATTTTTACTTAAAAATCCAAATCGAATAAAAAACTTAAGTGAATATTTTGGGTTATCAATCTTTTTTCTTATTCGACCATTTTATCACGTGAGGCTATCATAAACAAACTTTCATCTCTAAAGTGAACAAATTGAAACCAAGATCGATAATCAAAGTGACTCGGAATGTGATTCGCCATTGCATTCTCCCTCTTACCTTTTCTCTCTTATTTTCTCTCTATATCTAAAGATCAAACTACGATATAAATAAAATTAAAAATCAAAACAAAAATTTTAGAAAAAATCAGCAACTAAAGCATAATATTTGTTAAAATTTCATATCAAATGCCTAAATAGTTGAAAATCACAACAAAAGCATTACAATGCTTAAATAAAGGCTGAAAATCATAATAACGAAATTACAATTGCATGAACAAAGAGCAAAAATTACAAAATTGTCAAGTGATTAATGCATATGAAAAAATTAGAATAATACCAAATAAAAAGTACACATGAATATGGATATATAAATAGTGATTGAATAATAATTAATCCATTTATTTTAGGGTTTCTTGTTAATACATGTTTAAGGAATTATTATAATTCTATTCTGTATATGAAGAAATCAATATACATTAAATCACGATGATGACGGTTAAATGATAAAATATTAGATAACATATTATTCTAAATATATACTTCTAATTTATTCTTTCTTATGTACGACCATAAATATTTGGTTTTCAAATGTTAGTTGTTCGAAGAAAAAAAAGCACAACAAAACATAATTTTAGAAAAGATAAAACTTTTCATTCCATGCAAATTTACCCGACATATATAAGACGTCGGACTAGCATGAGATCGTTTTGCCACCTGCAATTTTGGCCATAAAACTCACAACAATTTCTTATATATATATATATATATATATATATATATATATATATATATATATAATTTTCATAAATCTTTTGTTGGTTAACTAAACTATTGAACTTGTAATAAAATAAGATCTATATTATTAATTTGGACAATTTGAACCCCAAATAGTTAATTTTTAAGTAAGTTTTTTTTTTTTTTTTCGTTATATCCGATGGTCAAAGTGTCGATTGTTAACTAAAATATTGTTTTAAGCATTTTTTTTTTGAGAATTAAAATTAACTTTGAAAAAATATATTTAATAATAGTTAACTTTAAAAAATCTTACATGATTTTGTTGTTTGTGGATTTATTTTTTATTGTTAGATAATTAATGATGTATAATGGATATCATCTATAAAAAAAAAATTTAATTATTAAATTTTGTTTGGAAATTAATTTTAATTATAAGAAAAAATTAAATACTTAAAGTAATTTCATTTTAAACATTTTAGTTAGTAGTCAACACTTCAACTATTAGACATAATGATAAAATTTACTTAACAATTAATAATTTAAAATATAAATCGTTCAAATTAATAATATAGATTTTATTTTATCACTATATCATTAAATTAATTTTTTGGTTCCATGCAAATACACGGAACATGCTACTAGTATGCACTATTTTAGTTGTATGCATGAGCTGGTTTTGCCAATTTCTTTTTTGGTCATGAAAACTTGCATCACCGTGTCCTTAATTTGACACCTTAGCTGAAACAACAATGCACAACCCGACTAAATATAGGCAACCGACTTGAAAAAGGAAAATAAAACAAAAGCATCATAAGGCACCAGCTTTCTTTTATTTTCTCTTTTCCAACTTTCTTCTCTAATGGCAATTTATTCTCTTCTGATCTCCCTTGTCATTAACCTCATGGCATTTTCAAACAATCTATCCGAAGCAGACCCAAGAACTGACCTTGTTTCACGTATGTGTGGCACAGTGCACATCCAAAATGTGTCAAACTACTTCAATTACTATTCAAGCGTCACAGATTACATGCAAGATGAAATTTATCGCAACAAGTTTGCGTTTAAGGATGCAGGAAAGCCACCTGATCGGTTGCATGTGCTTGCTCAATGCATGGATGATCTCTCTAATGATGAATGTGCTATGTGTTTTGCGCAAATTAGTACCCTCATGCCCAGTTGCTATCCTAGCAACGGTGGTCGTGTTTATCTTGACGGCTGCTTTATTAGGGCTGAGAATTATAGTTTCTATCGAGAAGCTCTTTCCCCTCAAGATACAAAGGTGATCATGCATTCTTCTGATCTTCTTCAAACCCAAATTTTAATTTCCATTTTTTTTTCTCTTATGTTAATCAAGATTCATAATCCTTCGTATATACGTTTGGTTGAAGCACTTTCCGAATTTCTGTTGGTGTGTTGGAAAATATTTCACATTTAGTTGCCAATTAATTAGTTGCAACTCAATTGACATATTATTTTCTCCATCCCCTCCTGGATTTTGGATTTTAATATGTCAATTATCATGCTCATAGGATAGAATTAGTAGAACATATTTTGGAATTTTAATCATATATAGTGCCCCCTATAATTGATGCATTTCTCAAACTGGAGTTTCTTAATTAGTTAGTAGATATCAATAAATTCTGATCAAGGTGCTTAGCGGTTAAGATTTGAGATTCATGCTAGGAATTCTTAGGTCCAAATATTAGAGGGGCGGGCTGGGCTAAAAATTGTGCAAAAGAAAAAACTTCAGACCTGAAATGTGCAGAGTTTATGAAGTTATGTATTAAGCAAGGTTTAATTCAAATTCAATGATATTAAATAATGGGGTTTAATTTAAGGATTATCTTCCATCATTTGGTAATATATATTTTTGTTCTTCATCTAAAATTATGTGTTATACTGAATTTTGTGTTTGGGAATTAAATGGAAGTAGAGATGCAGTGGCATTGCAAACAAGGGGCAAGAGTTTAGTGTCGCAGTACATAAAGTGCTGAGTAAGATGTTATTGAAGGCACCAAGTTCTCGAGGCTTTTCATCGAAGCATGAGACTTCAAATGGCATATCTGCCT